GTTAGGACCGCGGGCCCGGTCCGGTCCGGTTCAGGCCCGGCCCACCGAGCAGCATTAGTTTCAGTGTTGCTAACCATCATACATTTTCATGTAAACCTTACTTTCTGCTGCCGAGTCGAGTCTTTTTGTTTTGGATTTAGGTGTGCAACTTCTTAGTGTTGTTGATGTTCCATTCTGTTGTTGAGGTGTGTCCAAGGCTGCAAATATTATATAATCAGTTGAACAAAGTTACTATGTTGAGCTTTTTTGGGCTTGTAGTTCTATGTAATTTTGTCTTTGTAAAGTTTTAAATAATGAGAAACTAATGGCTTGGTATTAGTTGCCTGGGAAGCAGTAATTATGTTGTTTGATGTTTAAAATTTTAACTAGTATAACTATAATATTTTCCCAACTTGATTTGTATCTGAGTTATTTATTGGAGACAAAGCCATCTTTCTGCAGTTAGTTAACAAGGTATCATATAACAAATTATCATACAAATTGCATGATTTGACTCAAAAGAGCTCAAATCAACCTCAGATTTTTCATGCAACATGGAAGAATGAATATTATTTTAATTGTTTATTGCTCATCAATAATCCTTCTACAATCGGTAGGTTACTTAGTCATTTAATTAAGTTATACCACATTAATGAATAAAATAGGTAAAATTTATGAAAGAAGAAGAGTGTATAACCTTAGGCATTGAAGCTAGCAGCATTATGATCTTATCTTCTAAGCAAGATAACTTACAAGTTTGTTTTACTTATCAAAAGAAAAAGATAACCTACTAATAGCCTGTTTTGCAAGCTTCTCCAAAACCTTTTTCTTTTTTTCTTTTTTTAAAGTTGAAGTGTTTAGCCAAGTTTTTAGAAGGAAAAAAAAAGTGCTTTTAAGTAGAAGCAGAAGCAGTTTTGGAGAAACGGAAAAAAGTAGTTTCTCTCCAAAAACACTTTTTTGAAAAGCGATTTTGAGAAAAATACACTTATGAGCAATTTTTAAAAGCTTGGTCAAACACTAATTGCTGCTCAGAATTGCTTTTCAAATTAATTAGCCAAACATAATCTGTTTTTTACCAAAAGCACTTTTGAGAAAAGCACTTATGAGAAAAAACACTTCTCAAAATAAGTTGTTTTTTGTAGCTTGGCCAAACAGGTTGTTTGACAAGCTGGAAAAATCAGCTTATTTTGAGAAGTGCTTTTTTCAAAGGTGCTTTTGCAAAAAATACTTCTGGAGAAAAACAGTTTGTGTTTGGCTAATCAATTTGAAAATCACTTTTGAACAACAATTTATGTTTGGCCAAGATTTTCAAAAAGTGCTTTTAAGTGTCAAATTACGAATAAGGACATGAGGAAATATGCTTAATAGTTAATATTATATAAGTAGATAAATAATCACAAATATTTATTATTAAAGATAATTATTAAATTTTTTATTTTATTTAAATAAAATATAAAAATAAAATTGAAAAATACTTTATTCTTTCAAGATAATTTAAATATATCAAAAAATCATTCAATAAATATTGAAAGTTCATCCCAAAAATCATTATATATTGGTTAATAATTTAAACTAAGTATGGTTATTTTGGTATATATAATATTTTGTTAAGGGTATTTTTGGTAGGAAGAAAAGTCAAAACTGCTTCTGCTTCTAGCCAAAAGCACTTTTTTCTCCAAATAATAGTCTGTTTGGCCAAGCTTCTCAAGAGGCCAAAAATATTTTTTTTTTTTTCTCAAAAACACTTTTTTTTTCCTAACTTAGAGGTGTTTGGCCAAGCTTTTTTGGGAGAAAAAAGTGTTTTTGGGAAGAAGCAGAAGCAATTTTTAAGAAGCAGAAAAAGTAACTTCTTCCCAAAAGCAGAAGCAGTTTTGACTTTTTTTTTTTACCAAAAATACTCTTAACAAAATATAGTATATACCAAAATAACCGTTAAACCTAATACTTAGGATATTAATGTATAAATATTTCTTATTATTTTTAGGATAACTTTCTAATATATAGTGACTTTAGGAGTGTATGTTTTTATATTTGTTGAATGATTTTTAATATATTTAACTTATATTAAAAGAATTAGGTACTTTTAACTTTTATTTTTATATTTTACTTAAATAAAATGAAAAGATTTAATTATTGCCTGTAATACTAAATTTTTAAAATTATTTATTTACTTATAATATTAACTATTAAGTAAATCTATTCATGTCCTTATTCGTAATTTGATATTTAAAAGCACTTTCTGAAAAGCTTGACCAAACACAAATTATTACTCAAAAGTGTTTTTCAGAGTGATTAGCCAAACACAAACTGCTTCTCTCCAAAAGTACTTTTTTCAAAAGCACTTCTCAAAATAAACTGATTTCTCCGGCGTGCCAAACAGGCTATAAGCTTGGCCAAACACCTCAAATTAAGAAAAAAAGTACTTTTTGTTTTTTTTGAAGAAAAAAGCACTTTTGTCTTGGGGAAGCTAGGCCAAGGCTATAAGTTGGGACATTCTTCATTCCTCCCTTCTTTCCTTTGCTCTGTCATTTATTCATTTATTTATTTCTTATTCTTTCATTTTTTATATTATGAAGGTAGTTGTTCGGGTTGTGTATACCTCGACTAATTCATCGAGTACATGGTACCTCCTACTAGCACAGGTACTAGGTAATTCAATAGATCAAGACTTAAACAAATGGAAACAAAATCACTTAACTTTTATTGCATGATCTGGAAGTGCATTTTTTAAGATCTTACATTTCTTGTAATATATTTAACTCAAGTTAAGACACAGAACAATAAGCTGGTACTCTAGCAAAGCATCTAAGTAGCTATGGCAGGTGGAGCAATACATTCAGGCTTTGGAGTAACCTCTGCTGCAGAGTAGCCATTAGTTTCAGGGTGGTGCTTGTCAAAACTCCAAAACTTGGCAGCTTTCATATCATCTTGAACCATTTTCCTTGAGAACTCCACATGATCATAGTTTAAAGTTGCTTTTCCTCCAAACTCAGTTGGTAAATTATCCATGTCAAAGTATGACTTCATTAGTTCCACACTATCCTTGTTCTTTGGATAAACAAATTTGACCTTCTGAAATGTTTTGGTATCCAGAAAATATTTGACTATCTGGAACAAGAAAAAAAGAAGATCAGCATTAATAAAAGGTAAGATCATTTATTGAATACATCTCTACTTCCTAAAAGAAGTAATGAAAGTGTTTTTCTCAAGTGGAAAATGCAGTCTTAGGCTGTCAATGATATATGCTGGTATCTACAATGTAGGCTTTGGCCTTTTAAAACAGTAAACATAATACAATCTGCAATGTTAGAACACTTGAAATTACTGATTAATTTGAAGAATTGAAAGTTTTGCATGGTTTTTGGTTTGATCAAGTAACGGGTAAGAGGTGAAAGAAAAAGAAAAGATTCAGATCAAACCTTCCAAAATGCTTAAAAAATCCGCGGAGGGTTGTACAGAAATGCTATAGCAAGTCTTTCAGGGTAATGGTTTTGCAAAATATTGACCGTCTCACGAGCAGATTTGATGGGAACATTATTGGTTAAAGACCATCCTGTGAAATCTATTAACCAAGCCATTTGCTCTTGACCTTCTGGAAGATTAAGAATGGCATTCTCTATCAGATACACTAAATGCTTCATCTGGTTGTCTATTGATGTTGTATTCTGAAAATATAAGCAAGAACTGTAAAACCCTGATTCAAGAATATCTCAGCAGTTACAATAAGACAGTTTGAAAACTTGAACTTGCTTTTACATCACCTGCATTCCTGGTCTCAAGATAAGAACGGTCCTCCCATCGCGGTCATGAAAATTTGCTCTGAAAGCCTTCCCTGTCTCCCCTTCAATTGCAACTTCATTCTAACAAATTGCAATAGCATTATATGGTCAGTACATACAAAAGTACCAGCAGTTTAGAGACAAAAATCTACAGCAAAATCTAATCTACAGATGGAAAGGCAGATCACTCAAAACACTGTATACATACTTAATAACCATCTATTGCCAACACGATTAACTACGACAAACAAATCGTTGGTAAATAAATATAAAGGAGACAGTCACAAAAATGTCAAATCTTTCATGTATGCAAAATCACAACAAATGGTTTATCATGCAGTTCTGTTTTCTTCAATTTATGACCACAGCATACAAACTTATCTCTTTTCTTACCCAGTGGATTTCCTCAGGCTTAAAAGTTGACCTCCATTTTAGGGACTCTTCCAACATCTTCTTTGATTTATCCATATTCCAGTTCCGCGCTTCCAAATATCTCCTTAAACATGCATCACTGCAGTACTGTAAGCTGAGCCCTGATAGTGGCTCCAAGGAAGTCCGAAGCTCCTTAACCTGCAATAAAATTAACAGCCTCATTAGAACAAGTTAAAAGCAGACAGATTTGATAGTTAGAATACGTTCACAACTGCTCAGAAGTATCAAGAAGATATGCAGAAAACAGCATCATCCTCTTTCAAACTTTACCATGATAAGCTTTTATAGCAGCTACTATGCATCTTTTAAAAAGGAAAAGACTAGTTAAAGTATATAAGCAAAGTACAAGATTTTCCAGAAGCATATTGCAATTGAAGTTTGAAAGAATGAATTTATTGAAGGAACACTGAGAAACAGAAAACATGGCGTACAAATATAAATTTTTCAACAGTTGGTTACCTTGTGCTGTTGATCCTCACCCCCTTGATCACAATGGGAATGGCTCTTGCGACGAAACATGTTAAATGCTACCGCTACTGGTGTCTAATACTTGTGATTTAACTGTACAGAAAAACCCGTATAAACAAGGTGAGGACTTTTAACCAATCGACTACTTATAGCATTGAATTCCCATGTGCCAACAAATGCATTTTCATAAATAAAACTAGACAAAGGGAACAGGTTTTACTTGGAAGTAAAGAAACATAGTGCAGCTGAAACTTAATTCTATTTGACAGTCATAAGATTTCCTATCTGCAAATACATTTCATAAATGAAATTCCATACAAATGATGCTTTAAATTACCATGACATAAGTAGAGCTAAAAGAATTTGCATTTCATTTTTTCAAGCCTATGCTACTGCTGAGTCACACTTAATATGAAAATTACTGAATGAATCTATTCCATTATGTTCAATCTAAAAAGAAAAAACCCACACTATGTATGATTTGAGCCTATGACATGACTTTTGGTACCCAAGCAGTCTCAAATAAGACGTGCACACCTGCATCCTATGTTGCATGGACTCTCCAAAATGAGGCCGCACTCGTGTCGGATCCTCCAAAAATACATCCGATAACGATTTCGGAGTGTCCGAGCAACATAGCCTGCATCTTTAGTAGGTGAT